ATGTAATACTAACTTACTGAAAGAGCCTCCAACCCCCAGAACATTTTTCAGAGAGATCATAATACAGACTTGACTTTCATTCTTTTCTTTTAAGGTTTCTTGTTCTCCACAAGGGCTGCATGTGTGGGTCAAGGACACGGCGTACTTGTGTAGCCGCTCGGGTCAGGTGTTAACTGTGAGCATTCAGATGAATGGCTGGATACACATTGGGAATCTGATTTGTCCAGCCTGTTCAGACTTCTGTGACTCTTGTCCCCCAGAGCGCGATCCTCCAGCTTCTAATATAACAAGAACTGCACCAATCGGTAGGTTGCCTTATTTACTGAAGTGAAACTATATTAAATGTCTGAAAACTCTAAGGGTTTGTGTCAGCTCTGACTGTCAGGGAGCACTAAAGGAGAGCCATGGCCTGGCTGTTATAAAGATCCTAGATACAGGACTTAAAGGAAGAAGGCAAAGGCGCCCTGCTTCTTGCTGTGCAGCTGTGCAAGTTAGTGGTTAACATAAGGGAAATGTGTCTGAAACTTAACTACTTCATGTCATGTCTCCTTCTGGTAGTCATCCCAGAAGTCCAGCTCTAGCCTACCAAGTCACCAGAAAATCTGACCTGGTTTTGGAAGGCCATATCATTATTATAACCTTCAAAATTAACACCTTGCTGGATTGTGAGTTCTTACTTGTATAACTTCCCACTGACTATGTTAATGCTGTAATCCCAGAACAAGAAAGATTTGTCAGTTTAATTTTTTGAGAAAAAAGCTTGACTTGAGGCCTGTAGGTTACATTTTAGAATGAGAAAATGGTAACCTAGGAGATTCATATCTTTTAGCACCTGCTTGAAGTCATGCTTGGTGTTTCTCTCTCTCTCTATCTCTCTCTCTATCTCTCTCTCTATCTCTCTCACACACACACACAGTCTTAGAATGATAGAATAGTTAGGGTTGAAAAGGACCTTAAGATCACCAATTCCAACCCCCCCTGCCATGGGTAGGGACACCTCACACTAAACCTGGCCTTGAGCACCGCATTGAATGATGGAGCATTCACAGCTTCCCTGGGCAACCCATTCCACTGCCTCACCACCCTTGCAGTAAAGAACTTCTTCCTTATATCCAGTCTAAACTTTCCTGTGTAAGTTTGAACCCATTACCCCTTGTCCTATCACTGCAGTTCCTAAAGAAGAGTCCCTCCCCAGCATCCCTATATGCCCCCTTTCAGATACTGGAAGGCTGCTATGAGGTCTCCATGCAGCCTTCTCTTCTCCAGGCTGAACAGCCCCAACTTTCTCAGCCTGTCTTCATGTGGGAGGTGCTCCAGTCCCCTGATCATCCTCATGACCCTCCTCTGGACTTGTTCCAACAGTTCCATGTCCTTTTTGTGTTGAGGACACCAGAACTGTACACAATACTCCAAGTGAGGTCTCACAAGAGCAGAGTAGAGGGGCAGGATCACCTCCTTCGACCTGCTGGTCATGCTCCTTTTGATGCAGCCCAGGATACACTTGGCTTTCTGGGCTGCAAGCACACACTGAAGCCAGCTTGTGTTTAGTTTCTCATCGACCAACACCCCCAAGTCCTCCACAGGGCTGCTCTGAATCTCTTCTCTGCCCACCCTGTAGCTGTGCTTGGGATTGCTTCGACCCAGGTGTAGGACCTTGCACTTGTCATGGTTAAACTTCATGAAGTTGACATCTGCCCACCTCACAAGTGTGCCAAGGTCCCTCTGGATGGCATTCCTTCCCTCCAGCGTATCAACCGAACCACACAGCTTGGTGTCATCGGCAAACTTGCTGAGGGTGCACTCAATCCCACTGTCCATGTCAGCAACGAAGATGTTAAACAAGACCGGTCCCAACACTGATCCCTGAGGGACACCACTCGTTACTGGTCTCCAGCTGGACATTGAGCCATTGACCACAACTCTTTGTGTGCGGCAATTCAGCCAGTTCTTTATCCACCATTCATCAAATTGATGTCTCTCCAATTTAGAGACAAGGATGTCGTGTGGGACAGTGTTGAACGCTTTGCACAAGTCCAGGTAGATGACATCAACTGCTCTACCCCTGTCCATCAGTTCCGCAGCCCCATCATAGAAGGCCACCAAATTGGTCAGGCAGGATTTCCCTTTACTGAAGCCATGCTGGCTGTCACCAAGCACCTTGTTGATTGTCATGTGCCTTAGCATGCCTTCCAGGAGAATCTGCTCCCAGATTTTGCCAGGCACAGAGGTGAGACTGACTGGTCTGTAATTCCCCGGCTCATCCATTTTCCCCTTCTTGAAAATGGGGGTTATATTTCCCTTTTTCCAGTCGTCGGGAACTTCACCTGACTGCCATGATTTTTCAAATATGATGGCCAGCAGCTTAGCAACTTCATTTGCCAGCTCCTTCAGGACCCACGGATGGATTTCATCAGGTCCCATGGACTTGTGCACGTTCAGGTTCTTAAGATGGTCTCAAACCAGATCCTCTCCTACAGTGGGCCCAAGGTCTCCATTCTCACAGTCCCTGCATCTGCTTTCCAAGACTTGGGTGGTGCAATCAGAGCCTTTGCCAGTGAAGACCGAGGCAAAGAAGTCATTGAGAACCTCAACCTTTTCCAAATCCAGGGTAGCCAGTTCTGCTGATAGCTCCTGGAGGGGGCCCATGTTGTTCCTAGTCTGTGTTTTATTTGCAATGTAATTATACAATCCCTTCCTGTTACCTTTCACATCCCTAACCAACTTTAATTCTAACTGGGCCTTATATATATATATGTGTGTGTGTGTGTGTGTATATATATATATATATATGTGTGTAAAGATTTTTATCTGTTTAAGTTTACATGTATGTCCATAGTTTTCTTAAGCCTCATGGCTGTGTGGATTACTTACCATATGGACAGACTCCCTGATTCATGTACTGGGGTTTCTGCCTCCCCTTTTTTATCCCTCCCTTCAGCTTGCTGTTCTTGTGGCTTGAGTACTTACATGACTTACAGCCATACAGATCAGAAGCATTAATAAAATGGTCTTTTGAGAGTCTATGGTTTTGAAATGTTGCTTCTCCCCATTCATGCCATAGGGAACTTACTTGTCTTTCCATACCAATAAATTTTTCTTGTTTCTTCTCCTAATTGCTATTAGTGAATGAATGCAGAAATTTATTTAATTATGAAGGGAATAATCATGTTGTTTGGCTGGTTTGAGTTCTAGCCTTGAGAGCTAGGATACATCAATGCAGACTACCACAAATCTGGTTTTGCTTTTTGATATTTTTTAGTGTTCTCTTTGTTATTTTATCATCTCTTTAAATATAACATTTATAAGTTTTACTGTGTTTTGTTTTTTGTTTTAGACTTATGCTCCTGCTCGTCTGGCCTGGTTGTAACCCTTTGGCTGTTGATGGCTAATTTAATTCCCCTGCTAACAGGATTATTTCTCTGCGCATAGAGCAAAGCATGGGGCAAGAAGCTCTTCCAAGATGATACACCATCATGTTGCACTCCGTATTATGGAGCATGGAGGTTTTTTCTCTCTGCAGGCAGCTGCCTTCTGCTGAAACTCATCTCTCCTGGCAAGTATCGGTGCAGACAGTAGTCATGGAGGTGCTGACAAATGCAGGCAGAGTCTGAGAGGAGAAAAATTTACCTTGTCACCTCAAGAAGTGCCAGTATTTTCCTGGTTTGCAGCCTTTGAGTTACCTTTTGTTTGAGGCAGTAACAAGATGCACTATGCCAACCGCATTACCCTACCTGGCAATTCGGTCAAGATTTGAAACAAGAACTCTTCCGTTATAGAACTGAGGGTTTGGGGTTTTTTTGTTATGACCTCTGTGTGACTGGCAGCAAAGCATCCTCAACTAGAAATATACCTCAGTGGTTTAGTCAAAAGCCATGTAAAAATCAGTTGTCACCACTGCTAATAACCCAGGCCAGAATAGGTGTGGGGATTTATTTTGTGGTTTTGCCAATTCCTACAAATTATGGGAGGAAGAAATAATTTAATAGCATAGACCAGTGGTTGGCAACTGCCCCACAGCTGGGTTCTGCAGCCTTGAGGCTTCTCAGAATTCATACTAGTTTGCAGTGAAATGACTAGTTCTTGGGGTTCACTTAAACCTTCCTAGGTGCACAAAGCAGAATTTCAGACTGGTAACCAAGGCAACTCTGGAAATCCCATTCTCATTTAGTATGTGCCAGTTCTACTGTGAAATCGAATACATCAGGTGTTTGAGTATTCTCTTGCTAGGCAAAGGCATTCAGTACTGACACCCAATCTGTAAAATTGGGGTAGGGTTTCTGATTGGTTTTCATTCTGTTGGTTTGTTTCTTAAATAACGGCATTTTTTTATTCTAAGTAGTATGAACATGAGCGCAGCTGTTCTTACTTTTTGTTGAAGGGCAGACGAGTAGCAATGGCAGCTATAATCTTACAGCTATAACCTTACAGGACCATGGGAGTTCTCTAAACCAAAAATGGTATTGCATACGTAAAGAAATGTGTCTTTAGCTTTTTTTTTTTTTTTTCCCTCCACATTTTTTCTTGGACATATAAATAAAATGGATTGAGTATTTGTAAGAAGTTGAGAATTGGACGTTTTGAACCACATGGGGGCACAGCTTAGTTCAATGTTAATCGCTTGATGGACAAAATATGTAAGAGGAAGTAAAGGAGCAAAATCTGTCTACCTAAGGACAGCTGCTCTATAGAACACTTGTAAGGATGTTTGTATTTGTTTCTGACTCTATAATGTATAGCAAATAATCCTGTTTGGGTTTTTTATTTAAAGAAACTCTTACAACACCACTGAGGTGAGTAAGCTGCAACCTAAAACTGTCTGAAGGCATCACAGTCAAGAGAGTACCTTGCACTGGGCTAGTTCCCCTTCTTAACTGCAGGTTAAGTGTGCTTTGAATTATACAAGGCCTAGGCTAGCCTTAAGTAGGTGTTTCTGAGAAGCAATACAAATTAAAAATCACATGCTTTAAATATGTACAAATTCCAATTAAGAAACACTCAGATTAATAAGTGAACACTGATTATTTTAATATATGCACAATCAGCAGTCAGTGTCAATTGATTCCTTGAAAACAGAAAGGTTTGAGAATACATCTTAGGTCCCAGAGGTTGATGTTGTATTTTTTTGTCTGTTGTGCAATAATACAGTTTAAATGGTATCACTCAAAAAAACAATGCTTTTGATACTTGAAAAGAAATTATTGCTTATTTTTTCTTACTGTGAAATATTTGCACTGTCTGAACTTTCTGGTTAACTTTATAACTGTTAAACTTTTTTACTGGTGTTAATTTATTGTGCTCAGTATTTGATATGCTGGTCTCCTGTCTGTGTAAGTGTGAAATTTGTCGTATTTAATTGAATTTTTTTTTTGTCTTCAACACAGTTGTTTATCTTGAGGGTTTTTCTTTTATTCTCTCTTCATGAGAATTACTGGGAGATGGTTCAAAAACTCAGTGCTCACCTACTTCTGAATTGTATGCATGCTCTAAAGGAAGAGGCCTAAGTGTGTTGCACCCTCAGGGGAAAACCTACCTGCCTGCCTGTCAGAGCTCTTACAGTCAGGTTCACCTGGCTTAGCTGAGTAGCTGCATCAGTGAAGTAAAACTATTACTGCCTTAATAATCTGAAATATCAGTCATAACTCCTTGATGTGCAGCCCATCAACTGGCTGTGAACTGCAGAACTGGATGTGGCTTTGGGGAGTCAGGCAAGGAAGGTGCTTTAGCCAGCAAAATCCAACACTTTCTGTCCTGTCAGTGCAATAGCAGCTGTAGCCATGTTGGAACTGCCAAGAGATGTGTTGAGTTCAAGTTAAAGTGAGAGTGAATTGGTGACTGTCAAGAAGCGTATTTGAGTAAAACTGACTACCTCAGTTCTGTTTGACTTAAGCTTGTAGACTGCTGTGAGCTTCCAAATCTTAAAATGAAGTAAAAACACATCTCAGGTTTTTAAGAGCAAAATAAATACAGTAGGAAGCATAAGCCATTTCTGACTGTAGAACACAGCTGCAACTGTAGCTTAAACTAATCAGTTATGTAGCCTTAAGCATAGCTTGCCCTGTAAAAGCCGATATTGGCTTTGAATAAATACAAAGCTTGCAAGCAGCTACTTTAGGCGTCCTGACCCCCATTGTGGCAAGTCCATCCTAATGCATCTCTGATGTGTGAAAACTCTGAAATACAGCCCAAACACTCCTTTGTGTGTTCACCAGTGCAGGTGGGGCAGCACGAGCCCTGGAGATGGTGCTCAGAGGTGAAGGAGTTACCTTGTCTGTAGCAGAAACATGTTCAGTGTGTAATGCCCACAGGTTTAGTTTTTTAAAACACTCCGTGTTTGCTCATGGAAGTAAATTAGTCTTGCAGTCCTTTTTCTTTACCCCTGTAGTTCCAATCTGTAGTGGCTCAATTAGAAGTAGAGGCAAGTCATATTTTAGGAAGACATTTTTCTAACATTCCAAATAATTATGATGAGGAGCATGCAGCAAGTGAAATCACACTGAAAAGCTGGAAACCCATTGCCCTTGAAACAAGTTGAGATCGTGGGAGACTGTCATGACTTTGCACGTAGGTTAATTACAGAGGACTTCCTAGGTGTGACTTTCAGCTGGCTGAGCAGGTCACGGTCTTTCCCCTGCAAGATGTAACAGTCTTCAGGATTTGGGTCTATTTGTAAGCTGAATAATGTGATCTTATACTACCAGACTTCCAAAACACAAATGTTGCCTTTTTAATGTGAAGCTTAGCTTGGAGATAAAACAACTGTCATGAGAGAACTGGCTGACCTTGAACATGTGTTTCCTATTTTAGTACAGAATGTAAATACAGAACAAACTATTTTACATAGATTTTGATGGGATTGAGATATAAGGGCTAATTTTTGTTATTTATGGAGTCAATATTTCCTTATTTTATTGTTTAAAAAATGTATATCATTCAAGAGAAGGGAAAAATGTTCATCAATAAAATGTCTTTAGAAAATTGATTCTTCTTGTGCTTTCATTTAAGCTGATGATTATTAACCACAGGAATAAACACAATAGAGGACCACTACTGCAACAGTCATTTTTGAGCGAATTTTGAAACATGAAATGACATTAAGTCTGCATAACGATCACTTTATTAAACCATTATTTGATACACTTTACATTTGAAATGTTCTGTGTTGTTATTAGCTCGTACATGACTTATCAGAAGTTCAGCCTGCTGTAGAAGAGGGGAGGTTCCTGAATTCTCTATCCCATTTCTGTGTATTTGATGCTTAAACATTATGCAATATTCAAGTCTTTATCAACTTGGAATGAGAGGTCACCATTCCCAGTTTTGCATGAAGAACTTGGCTATGGTTCCCAATTCAGCAGAAGGAATGGTGGTGTTGTCTCTGGTGGCTGCGACCAGATACAGAGCTGCCTTCACTGCTCTGCAGCAGCGATCAGTGCCGCTGCACTTTCTGGTACCCGAGCTGGCTGGCAGACTGAGCTTTGTACAACAGATTTATAATTACAGTACATTTATATATATTACTCTGATAAACGTGCAAGAGATAACAACACTCCTCTAAAATGCAGAGTAAAGATGATTTTATAATCTAGCTTTTTTTTTTTGCTTTTTCTCTTTCCCCTAAGCAATATGTCAGCAAATACATAGAGAGATTAAAAAACCCCGCTTGCCTTCCTTTCTGCTGTTCTGGAAAATTGGATAAAGCAAAGCATAAGTAGGTTACTCTTCCTTTTTGTTTGACTTGTCTCAAAATAGGACTCTTTTAAAAGGGTATCAAAGCTTATAAAATGTGCCACTGTTCATTCTATAGATGGCTTTAACTGTGAAAAACACCAGGTATGTAAAGTTACCCAAGTGCAGCTATGAGGTTTAAAAATGTTTAATGTTCTAAAATCAGCGCTAGCAGTAGCAAAACAAAACCCCTGCTCTATGAACCAGTGTGTTTAAAATTCAGGAGGGGAGAGAGATCCCCTCTCCCCAGCTGTGAGATGGGGTGCTTAAGCTACAGCAGGGTCAGGCATTATTCCTCAGCCTGGGACAATGTGGGAAGCTGTGCTGGTATCAGCCCGGTGGTGCTTCCCAGCAGAGTTAAAACGCAACCCAGCGTCAGATGCAAGCTTTACAGCATTTCTGTGCGTCTGCAGCGGTCATTTTCATGCATGTATAAAAAGTCAAGTATCATGGGGGGGTTCACTGTTACTGGTTGTGTCTTCAGAACAGCAGCACTGCACAAGCTGCAGGCTGGGTTGTGCATACACCCTCCCTCTCAACCTCCACTTCTTCCCTCCCAGCTTCTACCAATTTATGACAATGACTTGCTGAGAAATCCTGACCCTAACACAAATGTATTTGGTTATTCCCACTGTTTTATCTGTGTTTCAATGGAGTACAATAAGTTTAACAAAGGTCAGGCTACTGATGAGATTTCTTAGTCTCCTGAATGAAGCAAACATTTCCCTGCAAGAAAACCCTCTTCTCTCCTTTGCCCAGCCCCTAAAGCTGTTTTATATCTACATCAGCTGAACATTCATGTGGGTCTGAACACAGTGGTGATGCACAGTTTTCAAAAAAAGCCTACACTGGGAAATGAAATCCAGGAAGGAATAAATGACACAAAGTATAAAATGTTGTTTGTGCTTGAGGGGAATTACGGGAACTCAACATTTGCCCGTGTGATTGCGTTTTGCTGCTGTCAGACCTTTTTTTGTACTGTAGCTTGTCTGTTTGGATGAGTCCTTCAGTTCTTCTGGATCTTGTGCTCTTCTGTAAGCAATATTAGTAGGCAAAATGTAGATCTTCACATGAGCTGGACTGAGTTCCTTACAATGGGAACTGTTTTCAATTGACAAGAAGGTAAGTGTAGGAAATGCCACATTAGTAACTCAAATACTGTTAAATTTTACATTCATTTCCTGTTGGGTATAGCATTAAACTTAAAGGCAGTTTTTACCCCCACAATGGGGATACGTAAATACATTCTTTGTTGCTTTTACAGCAAGCACTGCCACACAGCCTATTCCTCTACTTTATTCGCCGTGGAGTTGACAGAAGTCCTGGGAAGATGAGACTGCAACCAGGTGAGGAGAGGGGATCTCTAAAGGTGCTCTGGGTGGTTCTGCAGGCACGCGATGAAATCCTGAATCAGTAGACCCTCGTAGCAGATCTTATAGATGGTTGTAAATAATGGAAACCTAAAAGGAGTGCATTGCAATGAAAATAGTTTTAAAAGTTGGTATATATAAACATTTCTGTTCAGTTTATAATGGGAAGGAAAAAAAAAAGCCCACTCGCTTTTTTCTCTCTCTTTACAATGTAATTTTAACTCAGAGGTGCCTTTACTGGAAGACTCTAGACTCTACAGGGCAATTAAGAGGAACTAGGGGCAATTTTTGGAGAGTGACAGCAGAAAGAGCTGTTTTAGAGACAAAATGCTTATCCAGTATTTTTTATTAAACAAAACCCCTTGAATTGCATATCCTCTTTTTCCTCCTGTGTACAGAACTCAGGTATTACTTGCATTCATTATGCAGGTCTAAAAGCCTAAAAAGAATGAAAATGTCTAACAATTTTCTTTTCCTGGCTAAAAGGTTCTTTCCCTTTTCCAAGCTGTCTTAGTCATTATGTGGTAAAATATGAGCCTGCTGCATGACTTGGAGCCATATATGTAACTAAGTGCAATTATAGGCTACTTGTTAGATCAAGTTTGATTTAAAGTTCATATCCTGTCAAAAAGAGCTTTTATTTTCTCATTTTTGAAAGATAATGCCACTTTGATTTTCTGTATCTAATTCTAATAATTGGAGGGGGTTTAAGTACCCTTTAGTGGTGTTTGACCTCTCGGTACTGCTCATGTATGAGAGGGAATGGGATGAAAGGAAGTTTAGCTTTTCTAGTACGTAAACTGAGACAAAGGTTTAAAATCACAAGCAATCTTTTATAATCCCAAATAATTATAGGTACTTTTTTATCTCAGCATTATTTGTGACACTAAAGCATCGATAGCAGCACATATTACCTACTCAATGCATGCAAAAAGTTTTATTAGGAGTATGCTCCCAAATTTTATACTGAGAGAACCTCATTAATATTTGCACTGAGAGCAGTATTGCCACAAGCTGTAATGCTGATATACTAAGAGCAAGATACCCTTTGACCCATAGATCATGTTTGCAAGCTGACTCCTATGGTCTTCAGCCTTGTCTAGGGGAATGAGGATGTCTGGGTAGCTCCTTTGGATTATTATTTCTTTTTTTACCTACATGTATGTGGCTTGTTTCTTCTAATGCTGTTTAGCCTTCACCCCATTCTACTGACCATGGCAATGAGGAGCTCTAATGGTGGCCCAAGATGTAGACAGCAGTTGTTGCAGAAATGAGCAAGGTAATTAAACAGCAGTACTGTTGAGGAGTACCGTTAAGGAGGTTGTGAATCACTCATAATTTGTTGTTGGTTCAGTTGGGGTTTCTAAATCAAAGCACTTACTTATCGAGCATATTTTTCTGTTTCAGAATCTTGTAGACTTCAGCTGAGGTCTGAGGACCTTGCAGCTTTTGTCCATTCAGCATCTCATTTTCCAGTTCCTGAATGGACTAGAAGAGAGGAGACCAGTTACTTGGATCACAGGGGATACTTCTGCAATACCAGCAGCTACTGAGAAGGTAAATGGCCAATGATGCCTTCGTAAAACACAGAGGGATTTCTTCATGTATTAGTGTAAAATATTTCAAAATCTTCCTTACTTTTCCTGTGCGAGCAAAGGCTTCTGCTACTCTTCTGTTGCGTCCCCCGTAGCAGGTAGTGATTAGATCAGCAACCCCGCAGCTTTCCAGAAAAGTGGCTATTGATACCGGTCCCCTGCAGAACATCTTGGCAAAGGCCACCATTTCCATAAGGCCCAAGCGTATCACTGCCGCCTTTGTATTATCGCCAAAACCCAGTCCATCGCAGAACCCAGCTCCCACTGCCACGATGTTCTACAACCAGTTCATTGTGAAATACAGAGGAAGAAAGGAAATAAAATAGTCAGACAAGATGTGTAGTTTATCAGCGTGCACTGAGCTTTAAGAAAATCCCACAAATCTGTCTGCAATTTCCAATGGCCATGAGCTTATCTTATGAAGAAGGTAGACAGCCATTACTGTTGAATAAAAGTAGGTGGAATACTAGGGGATTTCTTGGAAGTATCTGCTGTTATTCTCATGGGCAAAAATCAAAGCATCTTGTTTAATATGCTGCAATCATGCAGTGTGTATGCAATTAATGTTTTGATTTTCTGCTACTTCCAAGTTGGGATGCACTGACCTTTCTGTTTTAATTAGTTTAAATATCCCACATGGAGTCATGCCTTTCTAAGTTTTTGTGGGCCTCTAACTTAGACAGGCATGGGTTCTACATACAGATGCTGCAGAAGATCAAATCTGGGCTTTACATGTAAAAACAGTCAGTAGAATTGCCCTTTTCTACAGCTCTAAACAAATCTTTTGGGATCCTAAACATCTTCACAATTCTTTACCATTGTCCTGCACACCCCCTTTCCACCTTCCAATGCCAGCCCTAAATAAGTCCTTAAATAAATGTAGTTCACTCTGTATGAGTAATATGTCACCTTGCACTGCCATTGAAGTGTTTGAAGCGTTTGCACCAGACATGCATGTGCCTCAGTGCTAACTTTTTATCTTTAGCAAAGGCAATGCCAAAGCAATGATCTCAAGAAGAACAAAGATTTCCCACAAAGCGGAAACAACCTCTCTTCCAGTCTGTGGCCAAAAGCAAAATCAGAGGATATTTGAGTTTGTATGTAAAGAAAATTTTCTTCTTGTACATAAGGTTAAACAGGACCAATTGTTTCCTAACCTCCCCCACTTCTCTAAGGAAAGGTGAATTACTGAAGTAAAAATCATTGGATGTATAAAAAAGTACAAAGGATCACAAGCTGTAGTCACCTTCAGCACATTTAAAATCAAACTTCGAATGTGCTGCCTCATTGCAAATTTGGTGATTTTGTTATCATTTCTGGTCCAGCCTGGGATCTCGAGGTGGGCATTGGTGGATGCCACACAGATGTGCTGCCAGCTCAGAGCTTTGCTTCTGATGCAAACCTTCTAGCAAGTTACTACTTGAACCATGGAAACAAGTTATTAGTGGGAGCTACTATATGTAGTAAGAGTCTATTTCATGTGCTTACAATGTGCAGACAAGAATATATATGGACTAAATTCTGCCCTCAGCAGCAGAGGTGCCTCTGATAAAATGAAAGTAAAAATACAACTATTTGGAAATACTTTGCCAGCAGTTATATTTTTAAGTAAATTTTCCCTTCTTTACAAGTTAGAAAACTGGCACATGAACTACACATCTGTGCTCACTCAGTCACGCAGTGGTACCTCGTATTAGACCCTGTGCCTTACAGAAGACTCAGGTGAAGGCAGAATTTGGCCTTAATAAGAACATTTTGTTTTGAAATCACTCACTTTTAAGGCTCCGCAGATCTCCACTGTATCAGAGTCAAGCACCACGGTAATCCTGAAATTGGGGGTCTGCATTAATTCTTTAAAGATTTCCCCTTGTTTTTCATTTTTGCAGCCTGTGGGAAGTAAGGTGACAGAGTGAGTTTGCAGTGTTTCAGCACAATTAACTGAAACCAGAAATAAGGTCCCAGGGGTCTCTTCAGATTTGTTGTCCCAGTAACTGAGTGTTACTAAATAAGACATTTGTGTGACAGCAGCTCATGGCTGCTGGGAGCCAGTGTTAAACGTATGCACGTCACACGGCATTGACCAAATTTAAAGACTTTATAAGTAGATAGCCCCTAACACAACCTTCTGCCTGAGAAATCTTGTATCACCATAAACCATGCAAAAGGTGAGATTTACAAATCACTTTGTATAGCACAACAGTAGAATTTCTGCTTTAAAAACGTAAGCAGGTGTAATTGCTAAATATTATTATGGGGTGCAAATGATTAATGCTCCCAATTACAGGGAGATCCACAGATAATGAAGTTGAATGTTGGCACTGCTGGAACATTTTGGTAGACAATTCTGTGGAGGTCATGTATAATGTCATTACAGTGCTCACCCTGGGTGTTGAAAGAGAGCCCTCGGCAGTAAAGGGGCTAGGGTCTGACTTTATCCAGACAGCCTGCAGGCATCTGGGCAAAGATTTCTGAATGGAGTTTCACGTAATTTTTATACAGGTAGCTCAGTTTCCTTCAGGGGATGCTCAGCAGGGAATTTTACTAGAAATTTTACTGCCCACAAGAAATGCCCAGGTTTTCACTATCACTGTAAAATTCACAAGCAAAGGAGCAGTATTGCTACTTTTATTTTCTTTCCCTAGCTGTGGATCTATGTAACTTTAATTTGACCGACTTTAAAAATCAATGGGTTTTAAAAACTGCTGTATAAACTTTCCAAATCAGGTCAGACCCAGTGCTGGGAGGATCTGAGGCTATGTCTTGGCAAGCAGACAGAATGGGAGGGAGGAACAGAATGTTACTGGGGGTTTGGTTTGGTGTTTGTTTCGTTTTTTTTAAAAAACAAAGAATTTTAAAGATGGAGAAACACACCTCAGGGAGCATGAGCACATATAAGCTTCTGATTACACTTCTCTGTCTAGACTGTATAGCGTATCAACTGCTGATGTACTCAGTGTTGAGCTGTACAGACACAAAAGGTGGCTCTTGCCAACTCCCACAGAAACAGGATTAAGCTGTAATTTTTTAAGGGATTAAATTAGCTCTCAGCACTGAAACTTGCTGTCAGTTTGGATCTGATCCTGCCAGCACCAAACTCCCTGGAAATAATTCTGCCTCTCTGAATGAGCTCAACATGTACTGTGCCTCTTGGGAACCACCTGGGACCCATCACATCCCCCTGCTTTCTCCAGAGGTTACCCCTGTTGCCAAGCCACAGGTGATGTTGAATTGCAGTCAGCAGCTCTGATTTGCTCTTTGCAATAGTTACCAATGGTGGTTTCACAGAACTTCTCGTCAGCCACTTCTTTGGCTATGTTGGCCCCCATAAGCACGCTGATTTCTATTTTCAGTTTCTCTCGAATGAGGTCAGATATGAGCTGCAGGCCTTCGGGACCCTCATCAATCCCCTGAATGAAAGGCGATAGTCAAAGCCAAATTGTTACAATAAGAAAATGACAGCAGTGGAGCACTGGTAAAGCAGAAAGTGTCCTATTGCCTGCGGCTCTCTGATTTCAACTGGGTCTTATATTTACTGGCATTAGTCATTGACCCGAATGTTCTCAGTTTGTACTTTGATAACTGCAAACTCAAGGCAAGTTCAGGGAAAAGAAAGCAACAGTGAGGTAACCCTGCAAGAAGCCTCACATCCAGTACTGCCTTCTTTAATGCTGTATTATTCCTTTGTGTTTAATTTCTGTAGTACAGAACCAGACTTTTAAATTAAGCCTCTAACCAGTGGAGTTTTTGCAAGATCCAAGTATTAATGTGAGTGCCTCATTGTTATTACAGAGTATACTGAAATGTCTTGTTTGGGTTTGTTTTTTTAAGCTAAAGAAACAAGTAAATTTGCAGGAATTTCCTTCCTTCCCCACCTCCTCTCCTCTGCGTACTGCTTCTTGTGAGATAATTTCTATAGGGGAACAAAGTGGGGAGGGAAAGAGCTGGTATTGCAGTCTGAAAACCTGAATTACATTTCTTTCATGACAGTTTTAAATTGTATATTTTCTGTAATCGAAAGAAGAGGTAGATTGTAATCCTATGCTTTGCCTCTGGCTTTCAGTTTGAGATTCTCTTAAAATATTAATTCCTTTTAAGATTCTCATAATCTGGTGCCTCTAACCTTAAAAAGAGATTCCTCAGTTCATGCCAGATTGAAATGGTCTCAGTTCTGCAACATCGTTTGTTGCTATTGTACCATTTTAATGCTGCCAAGAACAACTTTAGCATGTACTTGGAAGTGGCACTTTGACCCAGCGCTCTTTCCAGTTAAGAGTTAATTGAGGCTGTAGTCTGAGTATTTTTATTGGCAGCAGCACCAGCTTGCACAGTCCTCTCTCTGTCCATTTGCACCTCCATGCTGGTCCGAGTGGGAATTTATCCAGGCTAAAGATGGCTGGCAAAGACAGATGCTCTTAGCCTGGCTAGGTTGCCCCATCCTTTCCTCTCATGGGCACCAGAAGGGTTGGCAGAGGCTGGGTAAGTTTTAACTCCTGCAGAAAGAAAGGCTTCTTTTTATGCAGAGCATGCAGCTGAGGGCTGGAGCTCTTATCCTTAAGTTGAAGCTATTTATTTACTCCATACAGGTGGAGTCTTGTGGAGATGACAACTTACCTTGATCAGGGAAATCCCAAATGTCCCGGGCTTTATGTGGTCTGCAACCTGCTCACAGATTCGTCCAATAAATTGGTGTGGCAGAACAAACACTAAAATATCTGCCCAACTTGTTGCTTCAACCACGTCTGGTACAGCCACCTGGGACAAGAGTGACAACCAAAATGAGCCCAGGTAGGAATCCTCATACCTCACAAGATAACAATGTGCTGATGCCTTTGCAGATGTGTTGCAAAAACGGCCTTAATTTGAACAGCTGCTAGCTTTTCACTTGAGCAGTTACAGATCTCTTCTGAAATATCCAAAGCAGACTATTTTAGATTTGGATTTTTAATTATTTTTTTTTTTAATTATTTATCCCAGCCCTGTGTGGATAATCTGGGGAAGACACTATACTTTCTAAACTTGCAACATCCTGGGAAGCCCTTTTGCTGGTTCAGCTCCTTCAGGCAGTTTCTGAGCAACAGTATGTGGTTCTTTTGGAATGAATGGTAGTACCAGGAGCACAGGGACAAACTGGGATGGTGAGAAAGAGCCTCTTCTGGCAGTCTTTAGTTTCCACACATCACCAGCTGAGTTTTAGTCAGGAATAAACTATATAAAAAGCAGAGATTAGCATAATCTTTGGGGGTTATATATGTGTCTTTGTTTTAAATATATACTAATATTGACCAATAGTTACAAAATCCTATACAGCATGCTTAATAACTAGAAAGCTGTATCTTCCTCTGAAGTTAGCATTACTCAGAACAGTTTAAACCAGGCTGCAAAGGCAATGGCAGGTGATTTTGAGCCTGCTATCACAAGCAGTTTACAGTTAGGCAAAACATCACTCTTGGGAGCAGCCTTGGAACACACAGCATTAGAGCAAGAGGATTCCTAGTGGGAGAACCAGAACTGCTGCCAGCAAGGCTGCTTCTCCAGGGTAACAGCAAAGTGGGAGTGGGGCAAAGGCTGGTAGTGCTGTACAGGCTGTGCTGCTCTCTCCAAAATGCTGTAGAACAATGCAAGTTAAAAATTAGTTGGGTTTGGTTGTTTTTTCCCTCAGTAAGAGATTAAGATGTGAGGGTCCCTCCGGGCTTTAGTGCTGGTGAAGGCTCAGACTTTGCTGTAGAGAGGATGAGGCTGATCTCAAGTGGTGATGACAAGCCTGTTGACCTGCTAGAATGTTGTAAAACTAAGTGATAAGTCAATTGTAGCCCGGGAGAACCGTGTGCCAAGTTCAAACCACAGGAGTGCAAATATGCAATCGCTGCACTAAATGCAGTACTAAATACAACCACTCTCCAAGCAAGGAGACCCACCACATGCAGCATCTAAACTTCCTTTTACCACTGCAACTGTTCCAGAAATGTGGTGCTACTTTCTTTAATTCACAAAACAAGGGCATTTGGCAAAATCCCAGACAGGCAAAACCCCTCACCTTGCTTTCTTCAGTAGCAGTAAATCATCTAAGCTGGTTAATTTAATTAGATTAATTAGAATTGCGTAACTCGGTATTTTAAATGTTCATGAAAATTAAATACCTTATATTTCTGGTGGAATTTACAGCATTATTAATTATAGCAGTGTCTTGCTAGCCTGAAATTACCCATGAGCCAATAGCTCATTATTCAGCCCCTTGTAAGCCACAGCTGTTAGCTGTGCTGTTGATTCCTTTTTTAGAAGGGAGAGCAGTAGCTTTCCCTTTTTTTTTCCAGGATATGCTGTGGGTTTGAAATAGCTCCATGCAGACAGATCTCTGCCTGCCATCTATAGAGTTCTGCTGATTCCTGCCAGAGGAGGATGGTGCGTTACCAGCACCTGACAGTTGGCTGTTTGAAGTTACATGTGACACACGAGACAAGAAGTCGCAAAAGCGAATTATATTCCAGTGAGTGAGGTGGCAAACCAGAGTGAAGCAATGAATTACTTCCTTATTTTTGCCAGATGCTGTCTCCCTTACAAAATAAAAGTATTTCAGTTGTTTTTGTTTTCAACTTACCACATTTTTGGGTATCTTGTATCCAGGCAGGTATTTAACATTTTCATGTTCCTGGTTGATGATTTCTGTGAGTTTTCTTCCATTAATGATCTCTTCAAATACCCATATCTTGACAGTAGGATCAAATCTGTTGGATTTCTGGACATTTTGGCCAATGATTCTTGCTATGGCTGATCCCCTTTAAAAAGGAAAAAAAACCCAACAATTAATAGAAAACAAAAAGTTTTATTGTGAATTGGAAACAGAAATTGTTTTAAATATCAGAACTCATTAAAAAAGCCTGTGCTATTCAGGTGCTTGCTACATTTATCAGAAGGCTTTATCCACTACCCTCCATCAAAACCCCCTCAGTTTAAAACTACAGAAAGTAGAAATAGAAAAAACAAAACTGTAACCAAGGGATCTGAAGTCGTATCAAAGATTATAGGGTTGAAGTATGATGTACCATCAACAGCACTGAAAATACAGTATCTGCAATTAAAATCTCACTTGATCCCTGGCTAATTATTTATTTTCTTTTTTATTTTGAAGACGAACAAAGTGGAACAACCCAGGCGGTAAAGCACTGCTGAGCAATCTGCTGTGACAGTCTTTGTACATCTCATCTAAAATAGGCGCATCCCACTTTCCTACCAATAACCAAACAGTTGCAATTAGGAGTTTTTATAAGAGCCAAATCCTCAGAAATTGTTCTTTTCTTAAAAATAAAGTCTTCAGCCTGATGGTTTGTCTTTATTTATTGTTCTATTTATCACCATAACAGGGTCTGTAATAGTTGCAGCCTGAAGATATTTTAACCATCCAGTTTACTCTTCTTCAGGCAGGCTGAGCATTTTTTAATCTCAGCGCAGATGCTAATTTTATTTCCCCATCACCACTGTAGCATTGCAAGCATTCACTTATTTTTGTTGCAAGAGAGAATTAAAAACCCCACAGAAAATATTGGCAGTATTGTGTAATGATCTTGAAATTTTATGGGGAGGAGGGCTGATTACTTTTACTCCTCTGTTCCCTCTTTCCATTTTAATGCTACTTTAATCTTTTGAGTACTGGCCATTTTACTGCCATGACTGAAGGAGGAGCTCCAGTTGCAATGCTCTTGTCCTCTGACGCACTTATAGCACACCTGCAGTGAGCAGTATGAACAGGATTTAGCTGTGATACGTTTTCTGGGACCGGTAAAGGTCTCCAGCATATCCAAGAGGAAGTCCAGGTAGGTCAGTGCTGCCAACGGTTCAAAGGGAAACCACGCTGTAACTGGCTCTCCTTGGCTCAACCACATTTTTGATATAAGAGGTTTGCAGAAGGCTGAATTGCTCAATAAGCAATAAAAGAGTAAGGGCTTCATCTTTAACGATAAAGAAATACTACTGAGATCATGTTTCACTTTGCTGAGTGTTGACTATATGCTATATCCTGAGCTGCCATAATGCTTTTTTGTTTGCTTCATTAGTTGGTTTTGGCTTTTTTTTTTTTTTTTTTTTTTTTTTTTTTTGCTGTTGTTTGTGGGTTTTTTTTTGTTTAGTTTGGGGTTTTGCTGTTGGTTTTGGTTTTTAAGGGATGATTGGTTTTAGCCCTTAAAAACATTTAGGGAAATGTTTTAGGGGTGAACCTTTACTGTAAGAGTTCTGCTTTTTTTTTAAAAAAAGACATGCAGTCATATCATACATATGTATCATTTATAAAATTACTTATATTCTGGTTCTCTTACCCTGCTATCTACAGAAAGCACAATCAAAGCTTGAACTGAGGATGAATTGTGCTCTGCATGAGAAAAATGTATTAAAAGAAAAGGGTTAGGGTTTTTTTGTTTGATTGGGCTTTTGTTGTGGTTTTGGTTGGTTGTTCTTTTCCCCAGATAAACCTGAGATCTAAATCCATTGTACAGCTTATGCTGGAGTTTCCACCACAACCTGTGTGATGAACTGAGAACTCAAGCCTATCCATAAAACTAACTTTTCTAGCTATGACCAAGTTCATGTGATTTTCTGGTGAAAGATATACACTGCAGCTCTAACCTCTCAAATACTGAATGGAACTTTCAACTCTCAGTAGATAAATCTGATCTTCTAGCAGAGCTGTCATTCCCACCACACTTGAATGTTGCCACCCAAGTGTTTTCCTAGTGACAAGATATCAGTGAAGTTATCTCAGGCATAAAGGTAGCTCCGTAAATAACAGTGTTTTCCTTTGGTTTCTCTTTAGATGAATGAGGATTTGGGGCAGGAAGAAATTAATGATTAAAAGGCATTGATCAGTCACCACCAACCCCTCAAACAGTTCGAAACCTGATGCTCTGTTTTAGTTAGTCCATTTAAAATTCAGTCACCAGCCTTGGGAAGAACTGCTTTGCCTATGAAGGTGGTGTTTGGTAGACTACACAGGCTTGCCAGAAGAAGGTTGCTTATGCAAACAAGGATGCTAATGTATAAAGATTTCACCATGGTTTTATTTTCTCCAAAACTCAATTTAGTGAAGATTAATAGAAAGCAGAGAACTACACTTAGATATTTTTTTTAAGTAAGTAAAAACTGCCCATCAGGGCTTTTTTCCCAATTATGTTAATTTGTGTTGGAAGTGATTTACATATTGCTAAGAAAATAAAAGCTTTTATCTGCAGATTTTCTATCAGTATAATAAGAAAGCTTTGATATAGAATAACTCAAATAAAACCTGTTATTTACATACATGAATATGAAAGTGATTGAGACATACCTCAGATCTGGTAAAGAATAAAGGTTAATGGACTCTGCAAAGCAGCTAATCCATTAAATACTTCAGAGTGTATTAGGAACTTCTGCTGTTCCTAATAGTTTTTCTGAGGAGGTCTTAAAAACCTCAACGGTTTCAGGTTTCTTCCCTTCCCCATCCACCCCATCTCAGGTCTTTGCTATCCTCAGCATTAGGAAGATCATCCTCACATTTAGCCTAAGTCTTTCTTACCACAGTTTAAACCCATTTCTAGATTAGAAAGGTGGAATATTGTTTTTATTCTTCAGATATTTAAAGAAGATCATGTCTTCTTCCAGTCTCTTTCTTAGGCAACCACCTAAGGTTTTTTAAATTATAGTATTGCTCAGGTTGGAAGGGACCATCAGAGGTCTCCAAAGTGGGAACAACAGTGAGTACAGATGGGTTACCCAGGGCTTTATTCAATCAGGTCTTGAAAACTCTCCAAGAACCACCTCCTCTCTGGGCAACCTGCCCCAATGCTTTATTATTCTCAAAGAGTTGTTTTTATCTCCTCTCTTCATACACTGAGTCAGAACCTCCTCTGGTTCAATTTATGACTACTGGCTCTTGTTTTCCTTCCACGCACCTCCGCAAAAAGCCTGGCCATCTGTCCATGTTGGAGACAAGAACCTAGCTCAAGCTGGAGCTTTGCTAGAGAATCTGCAGTCCGAGCAAATCTGAGAAGCTTGGGAGAGATTTTGGATTCTGAAAGACCAGTCAGTGAACTATACATCTGTTTTTAAAAACAGGTAACTGAACCACGGTTAATGTAAACACATACCCTCCTGCACCTGGCTGGCAACCGCAAAATGCGGTGCAGTACTTTGTTTAACCATACCACTCGTGAGCCTCCTGGCAGTGTTGACTTAGGAAGTCCCAGTGACCCGCTGAACTTCTGCAGCGACATGAGCTATTGCAACATACTGCATTGTCAGCCTCTTTTCTGAGCTGCAGGGAAGACTCAAGAGCAGTGATCTGAACTGTCACCCAAATATTCAGGAGGAACATAAGAATAAAAATGTTTGCCAAAGATAAACATGGCTTTTCTATGTTGTGCTAATACAACCTGTTCTGCCACAGAGCCTATGAATAGATGTGATTTGAACATCTGAGCACAATGTTTATCTCCTCCCCAAGGATTTACAGGCTATGTATACGGTAGGAAGCAAGAGATAGGCCAGACAGACAGGCGGCATGAGTAACTACACAGTACTGAATGGGCTGGGGTCTCTGTATGCCTGTGACATAACCTTTTTCAAGTTTGTAGGTACCTGTGGAAAAGGCGAACTTCCTCCTTTCTCAAGTATGGCTTCTGAAAGGAGACAACCAAGAGGTTTTGAAGAATGTCTTACAGCAAGGGGACAGCTTGGGAAAGGCAGGGTTGCTTGCTTGAGGATGGAGTAAGAGCACAATGAAGGCTGTCACTATGGACTGACCAAAGGTAAAAAGCTGACTCCCAGGAGTACAGTCATGGGAGTTCAGGGGCTTGGAAGTGACAGTGAGCTGCCTGCACAGGCTTGGATGTCTGCGGTTAAGTTAAGGTGAAGGAAAAGTGCAGGGATGCAAACCCTGGAATGACATGCTAAAAGCGGCAGTCAGAAAAAAGCTCGTACAGAAATCATGGGGCAGGACTGTATCTGTCAGGGCCAGCGAAAGGCAGATGTGTGATGATGGGTTCCCAGAGAAGACTTAGGTGTGCAGTTACGTGTCAAGGGCTGTGTCTGAGAGATGTCATGCACAAAAAGCCTGTGATCAGAAAGAGCATGCATGCGGGGGCTTGGAAAGCAATGGACTGGTTTTGCAAGGCAGGAAGGCAAAGAGCTGTACTTTAGGTATGCTGTGTCTTCAGCAGTTCACAAGCAACCACTCCCACACCTATTGATTTTTCTTGGCATTTGCTTCCATTTAGCTGTCACATATGTTAAAAATTTGAAGAGGCTTTCTTGCCTGGTACAAAAACAATCCCCAGAGCTACCTGAAGGCTGGCTTTGCTGATCCCAAGTGCATGCACATAGACGTTGGTCTGTTTGTACTCAGTTTACATAAACCGTAAGAGAAGTAAGATGCAAAGTCCGGTGCAATAGGGTTTACTGCCTTCACTGGGGTCTGACTCAAGGAGCTCTGGAGCTTCTGTCCAGGCTAGAAGGGACTGAGCAGTAGCAAATATATTCTTATGAATGTGGATAAGGATAAATGGGGGACCTGAACGCAAGGCTTATACAGGGCTGCATCTGCACTGAGATGCAAAATGACACGCCGAGGGGGATGGAAGTGAAAGATGCCAATAAGTCATGGCTTTAAATGGAGCCTGTGTCCTAGTTCTTTCAAAGGAACACTAACAGCATTACTACTGAATGCTTAAATTTGAATCACCTGGGCCCAGTCACCAGCATACATAGCTGCAGAGGCACAGCTCTGCTCCTCCTGTGAATCTCTAGCCTCTCATCAGGCTTTAAATGGCTTACACAGCCCAGCGATGCAGGAGTCCCATGTCTTTCATGCTCTGTCTGGTGCGTCCCCCAGGGGCGGCTGTCCCTGCTCAGGGAGTCGGGGAGGCTGAGGCACGGACACGGTCGGCATCGAGGCCGCGGTTTCAGGACCATGGAGACCCCCAGCTGCCCCCAGCCCCGCCGCTCTTAGCACCGGACCTGTTGCGAAGCACTCAGCAGTACCGGGGGCAGCCGGCCCGCGGTGCGGTACGGCCCGGCTGTCCCTGTGTGAGCCCGCTGCGGGGGTTGGGGGAGGACGACAGGGAGGTGGGGAAAAGGAAAGAAATGGGAATAAAGGGAGCAGTGGGGAATGGAGGAGAGCAGGGAAGAGGCGGGGGGACTCAGGGTCCCCCGCGCTGCGGCACTCACCAGTTCCCCGAGCCGACGATGCAGACGCGGAGAGGCGACATGCTGCGGGCTGCCCTGCCGCCCGGCGCTGCTGCCGGCGGCTCGGCTCGGCCCGGCCCAGCTGCCAGCACCGCCCTTCCCGGCCCGGCCTCCGGCGCCTGCGGGAGGGACGGGCGTGAGCGGGCGGCGGCGCCGGGGGGCAGTGCCGGTACTGCCCCCCTGCTCCGCCTGCGGCGGTGCTTGCCCCTAGTGGCTGCCCTGCCATTTAGTGCCCTGAAGAGGGAACCGGGAGATGGGCACCTTCTCCAACATTCACAGGGTTGAGGGCCTGCGCGGGGATGGCAGGGCAGCCCAGCACTTGTCGTGGTGTGAGACCTTCCCGCCCACCGGCAGCCCAGGGGGTTTCTGCAGGGTGGGTAAGGTGGCAGAGATTGGGAAGGATAAAAGCAGGGCCCTTAGGGGAAGGGAGAAACATCAGGAGGCCCCATGTTCTGTCAGACAGGTGCATCATGGCTTAAATGCTTCCGATAGATGAGAAGCACACCAGGGAAAGGTTATGAGTGCATCTGCAGAGACAAATTCAGATAATAAATTATGGGTTATATCACAACTTTCAATATGGGGCATCCCGTAAAATTTATCTGCAAGAAAGAAGGAAATTAAGTGTTGTTCCTTTTCCCCAACATGGTCTAATCATGCATAAACCCCTGCAAATTATCACATTTTACCTCACAACTCTCTGCTGACCCCACATCCTCTTCAAAGCAGCCTTTCTCTCTCATTTTTGAGCCAGAGCTGCATTTGCTACCTCCCCTGCACTCCTGCACCTGTGCCTGTGCTCCTCCTTCCTCTCATCCTGCCGTGCTCCAGTTCCCTTCCCCTACAGGAGGCTGTAGGCTCAGCAGTGACCACATCTGCTGCCTTTGCACCAGAGCTGGGCTCAGTAGGTTTCTGGCTGTATGTGACAAGGACACCCGACCCCATGATTCATAGATGGAAGCTGGCTGCCAGCATTTCAGAAGCCCGTGGGTGTTTCTGGAGGTACACATATGTTCAGCTCGCCTGCTGTGAGCTTCATCGGCTCAGCTATTTGTTATGTCCTGATGGTGGTGAGAGTGCTTGGAGACATAACAAACTAGGGCAAAATTCTACAAAATACCTTGACAAAATGGCCAGCACAGGTTACTGAAGAGGAAGGTGTAGCTGGGCCCCTGGCCATATGTGAAGCTTGATGGGGAGCTCAGTGAGAGGAGGCATTGCCCACATACACAGTTTCAGCACAGGCAATGCACAAGAGCCTTTCTGCGGTTCCAGAGCCATTTCCACCAGTTTGCTACTTCTTCATCATTATTTGCTCTTTCTCTTGCTCTATTGCTCTTCTGTGCCTCTATCTTCCTTTTAACTTATTCTCCTTCCATGAAGGAGACGTACTGCGGAGGTGAGGAGGAGCCATCATCCTTTTTGCCCTGTTCAGTCCCTGAAACTTCTCTGCTTGTTGTTCTGTCCTGGTGAGTACCCAGGCCTCAAGTAAAGGACACACTCATTGAAGCACTGGCTTCCACAGCCAATGCATAAAACAGGTGTCCCTAGTCTATATAGTATTGCAAACTGTAATGCTTTCATCTAAATTAATGTGGAAACTTTTAATTACAAAGGGGAACTATATCAGTTTGGTGGCCTCTGGGCTGATGGCTGTATGTGTCCTCCATACTGAGGTTGTACTAACCATTTAGTCAGTGCACAGAAGCTGGCAGGGGTGATACTGGCAGGGGATGAGCAGGCACACGGATACAGCAGCACTTGTAATGAGCCGAGGATGCAGCCTGGGTCTGCGAGCACACGTTAGCTTATACATCTTCCACTAATTGGCCATGGAAATAGATAACTTGTGGTACTGCTGAACTGCCCTCTGGATTTGCGGACTCACTGCTCCATGGAGATGGATGGGAAACCATTCATGCACAAAGGACTTCTGGGCAGTGTGCAGGCAGTTTTACTTGACAGGTTTGAATATCAAGGCTGTCTCAGTGGCAGGGTTGTGTGGGGACACCGAATGGCCCCAAGAAATGGGTCCTTTATCAGATACCAGAGCCCCAGAGCCATACTGGGGGGATGCTGACAACTGTTGTTTCATCAGGCAAGGAGAGGGATCTGCCCTTTCCCACAGAGGCACAATGTTTGCTTTTCACATTAGCCCATGAGCACTACCTCTCACGTGTGAGTCATTAGTACATAACAGGCATAAAAGCTAGGTCTGCTTAATAGGGAGGATAAAGACAACCCTCTGAAGGCCATTCCCACCCAAGCTCACCTGATTGCCTGCACCTATAGGTCACACCTGTGTCAGTAGCTGGAGATTACACAGCTGAACAGTTTTCTTCTGCCTAACCGCTGCTGCAAAAACAGAAAAACCTCACTGTCAGTGCCACAAAGCCAGGGCAGCCCTCAGGAGCTTTTTTTCCTACCCCAGGTGTGGCTCTTTCTGTAACAGCAATGCAGTCTTTGAACACCCTGAAAAATGCGGCTGAGGAATGTCAGACTTGGCAGGCCAAGGACGGACAGGGAGGAGAGATGGGGCTGGGTGTTCTGTAGAGAGGGATTTGAGGGCAAATTAAAGAGCAGCCTGTGCTCTCCAAAGGTATAGATACAGCTATTGCGCGCTTTGCTTCCTTGGCCACTGGTTGGTGGTATTTGCATGCTCTATACAATTGAGTGACTAGGATATACCAGATAAGTATGGGATAGGGTTAATCCCCTGTTCTCCTTCCCCAGGTGAGCTAGGGTTCTTGGCCTAGTTCTTGCTGCCAGCCTCATCATATTCCATCTTAATATTGGTTAGGTTTTTTTTCCCCTTCTTCTAAGGAGAAGCTATTTGGGACCATTATTTCTCTCACAGTGAGAGCCCTTTTCCCTATTTCATATCCAATTTATGCCCACCTGCTCTAGCACAAGTGCTGTCTATAGATGTGAATGATTTTTCTCCCCTGGTGGTTATTTTCCTACTCTGCCTGCCTTAAACCCCAAATCTGTTCACAGAAAGGAGTTGGAGCCCTTCTCACTATTCATTTTGCCAAGCTCAGTAAGACATGCTCTCTTCCCTCTTTTCCCCTGATTAAATGGATGGCACTTCTCTGTACCTATTCCAGTATGAATTCAGGCTTGCTGAACACTGATAAGTTGAATGATGCCCTAAAACCCCAGCAGAATTTTACCCAGTGCCTTGTATGTATTTACTTATTGTTCCTGGAAATATGTGGCTTTCAACATAAAAGACTGTATTTACTTTATTAATAACTACATCAGGAACGTGGCTCTTCCTCTTCTGTTTATGCTTAGTACATAAATTTTAATCTACAGCAGAAATGTTATCAATCTCTCAGTGCATGCCCCTGTATTTTATGCTGTTACATTGCATCCCATGTCTGTTACTAGGGCATAAAAATCATATAATCCTTCCTGTGGTGTTTCCTCCCTATTGAAAATGTCTCCCAACTTTGCTGTTAGCAAATTTCATTACACCACTCATCATTTTTTGTGCTGAGCTACCTAATGAAATTACTCAGTAAAACCAGTTCCTTCAGCCCCATAATTCTGCTATCAGCCCCATCAGTAGTTTTCACTCCCAGTATTATTCCTTTGGCATTTTATAGTATTTACATTAATACTCATCTTCTTGACTTTAACTAATAATTAGCTAGATAATACCAAATGAAGTGCTTTACCAAAGTCCAGGCTGATAAGATTTATCACTTTTCCTTAGTCTACCTTTGTCCGTAAATGCAATCATCTTATCAAAGAAAGATATTGGGGTAGTCTACATATAACATGCCTAGCTTGCACTTTAATCTATTTTCTGCTTCCCTCAGTGTTTTTGGTTACTCATGGCTAACATTTGCTCTAAAAAGCCTACAGATTTCAGTGATGAAGGTTATTCAGTCTTCAGAAATGAAGGGTAAAGAGCTCTTGAGTTTTGTGGCTGTGTTGCATGCAGTGATTTACATATCCATGCCCTTTAGCCCATTAAGTGTGCTGCCTCTGCTCTCTGGGGTTACATTTTCTTTGTCATAGAAACTGAAGCAATATATTCCTTTGGCTTTTAGATACCTGCCCTGCTCTTATTACTGGCGATGCTTTCCTTTGTTTCATTTGTAATCATGCAGCTAAAAACCCTTTTGGTCTTGTTTTCCTTCCCTATGCAGGTCTGATTTGTTTTATTTTTACCTGTACCTTTAATTTTGGCTGGTTGAAGGATAGTTTTCTCTGCATATTGCTCCCTTCTTCTTTCACTGGGTTTTCTGCATGTTCCTAAGATGTCCTGCACTGTCTGCATCACAGTTCTCATCCTATATGGGCATACAGAGCTACAGGTAATATTCTGCCTTAATTTGTCTGATCCCTTTGGTGAGAAGTAAGGTTGAAGGAGTCTCTTCTTTCTTGTGACTACTTGATAGCAAAGCAGAATATGAATTTTGCACTCCCTGGGGTGGTGACCAGATAGCATTGCTCCCTGGCATGTCTAGGAATGCAGGCTTCCGAATTTGGGGAAAGAGGAGCTGAAAATAAGCTGGTTTTTTTTTTTTTGCCAAACTTTGTGGACTGATGTCTGCAGGACTCAAACATGTAATTGTCTCACCTGTTTAGCCATGGGTAGAGTTAAGCTTGGAGTAGGTCTGGAGTTTAGAACAAGGGTTTCCAAGTTCAGCCTGGGTGTTTGAGAGGAGCTCACCTATTGTGAATGTCCATAGAAACCTTCCCCTGGATGAGGTCTGTAGACTATCAACAATCAAACACTTCAACTCTACCCAAACTGCAAGCACCATACATAACCCTCACCCTATGCTAGTCAGCCTCGTGGACATCAAATTACTTATATATCATAGGCCTCTTTGCTTTCCACTGGAAAATTTTTGCACATAAACTTTCCCTCAATTATATTCTATAAAAAGATTCTAGAAAGATTTGCATTGGTTTATATATATATATATATACACACATATATATATAAACCCACTAAATTATTGCACACTTAATGATTTTTAGTTACAGGTAGTAAATAACAACCATTTATACTGAGTAGCATGTAATAATGCAAAGCAACTCTTCCAGGATGTAAGGTACAAATAAATAATGTCAGTTTATGTCCCTAAGAGCTGACAGT